TATAGTAGTCCAAACCAGAATGTACTTTTACGTTTAACCAGACAAACTTCATACAAGAACTTCTTAGGAAGAAAGAAAAGAAGTAAGCAGTATCAATGAACTTCACTTTTCGCTATATAAATGATGCTCTCTTGACTAAATAATTCAAAATTTGGTGACTATTTTGAACGCATCTATCCCATCGAACTTGAGATAAAGGATACAACTGATACAGTTAAGTCTGCATCATATCTTGACTTCCATCTAGAAATTGACAACGATGGTCGGTGATGATTTCAGCATCCAAATTGTGATCTTTCCATTTCTATGTAGCAACATTCCAGCAGCGGCTGCATATAGAGTTGAATCTCACAGTTGATACCATATTCCAGGGCATGCATTTTCTATCATGATTTCCTTGATAGCTGGTTTCTGCTTACAAGGAAGCTATTAAACCAAGAGTTTTAAGTGGTGAAGTTGAAATCATCCCTTCGTAAATTTTACGGACGCCATAACGAGATTGGTTGACCGTTATGGAGTATCCGTTTCACAGATGACAACGGATATGTTCCAATTGTTGTAACTACAATCCCGTCACTTTTCCCCTTTTGTGACCTACCGAATTAGACTTATCTCCAGATTTGTTCTAATATGAGCAACGCAAAGGTGACACATGTGGATCAGGATATGCATGCCCGTCCGGAGCACCTGAGATCATCCCCAGTGTTTGGTGGGGTTCGTGTTGCTCAGACTTTGGTTTTCTATGTTTTGTTTTGTGTTCTGTTGTTTGTCTGGTTGTCTTATTTCTTTTTAAGCCATGGCGTTGTCAGTTTATTTTTTACTTATGAGCTTAAACGTCCCTTTGGTATATAATAAAAAAAAAAAAAAAGAAGTGAAAGAACTTGTGGATAGTTTCTCTCAAGGAAGATATCAGCAATTAGAAGAATCAGATGAATCCGTTGATAGTAGATCTTCAACTGCAGAAAGTGTAGAAATCAAAAACATAACATTTCACAAAGCTGAAGATGTACATGAAGATTGAAGATATTAGACATAAATCAAGCAAACTCAAAGGAACAAAGAAGGTACCATTCTTTAAACTATTCCGTCGAATGCCATGCGTCACTTGCGCTAATCATATGTCACTGGCACTAATCGTATGTCACTCAGATGAACAAACAAAACAGAACCATTCCAGGGCATTGAACTGATTGAATCAAGAATCTCGGACAAATACTCATTTCACAGATGACATTATGTCAATTTGCGGAAAAACCGTTCTTTTGTAGCTTTGATGAACTTATTAAATCAAGTTATGTCCGTCAAAATAGACCCTTGTAAATTTTTGTATGATTGTTTATTTTGGTAAAGTCAAACTATTTGTGTATTTTTGGAGTCCAGACTGACAGAGGCATTTATTCCCTCAATATATCGGCTAAGAAAACTGGACGATTAAAGGGATATTGTCTTCTTGGAAGTTTCAACACAAGAGTCTTTTTAAAAACTATTCACTTCTATATACCAAGAATATCTGCCACACCTGAACATGTACTTTGACCCTCCGCCGGGTCAAACAAAACAAATTTAAATTGATACTTGCTGCTTATCCGCTAAGCACGCATACTTAGGGAGCAACCATTTAACTTCAAGGGTGAGGTTATGGTTTTTTTGTCTGATTCAGAATTTTTTTTTCGCGCAGAAGATTTTTATTTAGTTTTTCAACGCTATCAGTCAAATTTGTTTTTTTCAATATTTAACACTATGAGGTATGTGGTAAATCGGGATTCGGAATATTTTTTTTTTTCATCTGCATGACCAGAATATTATTTTCCATCAGATTGGGGATCAGAAGATTTTTTTAGAAAAAAAGCATACCCACCCCCCGCCCCTTCTGAAGTTAAATGGTCTTTCGCTTAGATGTTAGAGAAAGGATTGGTATGCTCGAAGTACTAATAATCACGGTGTCCGAGTGGAGTTTATGTTAAACCGCGGGCAATACTTCAGTGTACTAGCACTCTAAAATTACAGTTCAGAGTGTTGGTCTTACCAAAGCAGACAACTTTAATGCACTACACCTTGTTCTCATCATGTTATAGCTGAATATTGGCTATATCGTCAAATTTCCCTGTACGGGGAAATTTGAAATAGCGTTAATAATGGACCAAACTAAATTCTTTCGGTTGGAACTGAATAAAAGAATTGAGAAATAACAAATTAAATGTCAACTGAATAGATTTATTGGGAAACTTGAGGATCAGTATAGAAGACCGTGTTTTAGAGAAACACACCGGGAAATTTGAGTATCAGTATATAAGACAGTGTTTTAGAGAAACGCACGGGGAAATTTGAGGATCAGTATATAAGACAGTGATTTAGAGAAACGCACGGGGAAATTTGAGGATCAGTATATAAGACAGTGTTTTAGTGAAACAGTCGTTGGAAATTTGAGGAACAGTATATATGACAGTGTTTTAGTGAAATAGTCGTGGGAAATTTGATTTGATTTTGATTTTGATATTTTGGTGTTTTAACGCCACTTTTAAGCACCGCTTTTGGGCTATTTCTTGGCGGCCAGTTTTTATTGGTGGAAGAAGCCGGAAAAAACCACCGACCTTCGATAGGAAAACTGACAATCCTAGTCAATTAAGATTGGGGTCGAGTGCACCCGCACGAGCGGGGTTCGAACTCACAACCTCAGTGTTGACTGGCTAGTGATTACAGTAGTAACTACTTAAACCACTCGGCCACCGAGGCCCCTGTGGAAAATTTGAGGATCAGTATATAAGACAGTGTTTTAGTGAAACAGACGGGGAAATTTGAGGATCAGTTTATAAGACAGTGTTTTAGTGAAACAGACGGGGAAATTTGAGGATCAGTATATAAGACAGTGTTTTAGTGAAACAGTCGTGGGAAATTTGAGGAACAGTATTTAAGACATTTTCTTCGAGAAACAGACGGGAAAATTTGAGGATCAGTATAAAAGACAGTGTTTTAGTGAAACAGTCGGGGAAATTTGAGTATCAGTATACAAGACGGTATTTTTTGTGAAACACGAGGGGAAATTTGAGGATCAGTATAAAAGACACTGTTTTAATGAAACACACGGGAAAATTTGATGATCAGTATATAAGACAGTGTTTTAGAGAAACAGACGGGGAAATTTGAGGATCAGTATATAAGACAGTGTTTTAGAGAAACCGACGGGGAAATTTGAGTAACAGTATATAAGACAGTGTTTTAGTGAAATAGTCGTGGGAAACTTGAGGATCAGTATATAAGACAGTGTTTAAGTGAAACAGATGGGGAAATTTGAGAATCAGTACATAAGACAGTGTTTTAGAGAAACACACGGGGAAATTTGAGGATCAGTATATAAGACAGTGTTTAAGTGAAACAGATGGGGAAATTTGAGGATCAGTACATAAGACAGTGTTTTAAAGAAACAGACGGGGAAATTTGAGGATCAGTATATAAGACAGTGTTTTAATGAAACACACGGGAAAACTTGAGGATCAGTATATAAGACCGTGTTTTAGTGAAACAAACGGGCAAATTTGAGGATCAGTATATAAGACAGTGTTTAAGTGAAGCAGACGGGGAAATTTGAGGATCAGTATATTAGACCATGTTTTAGTGAAACAGTCGTTTGAAATTTGAGGAACAGTATATAAGACAATGATTTAGTGAAACAGACGGGGAAATTTGAAGAACAGTATATAAGACAGTGTTATAGTGAAACAGACGGGGAAAATTGAGGATCATTATATAAGACAGTGTTTTAGTGAAACAGACGGGGAAATTTGAGGATCACTACAAAAGACAGTGTTTTAGAGAAACAGACGGGGAAACTTGAGGATCAGTATTTTAGAGAAACACACGGGGAAATTTAAGGATCAGTATATACGACCGTGTTTTAGAGAAACACACGGGAAAAATTGAGGATCAGTACAATACAGTGTTTTAGTGAAACAGATGGGTAAATTTGAGGATCTGTATATACGACCGTGTTTTAGAGAAACACACGGGGAAATTTGAGGATCAGTATATTACAGTGTTTTAGTGAAACAGACGGGGAAATTTGAGGATCAGTAAATAAGACCGTGTTTTAGAGAAACACACGGGAAAAATTGAGGATCAGTATATACGACCGTGTTTTAGAGAAACACACGGGAAAAATTGAGGATCAGTACAATACAGTGTTTTAGTGAAACAGATGGGTAAATTTGAGGATCTGTATATACGACCGTGTTTTAGAGAAACACACGGGGAAATTTGAGGATCAGTATATTACAGTGTTTTAGTGAAACAGACGGGGAAATTTGAGGATCAGTATATAAGACCGTATTTTAGAGAAACACACGGGGAAATTTGAGGATCAGTATATTACAGTGTTTTAGTGAAACAGACGGGGAAATTGAGGATCAGTATATAAGACAGTGTTTTAGAGAAACAAAATTTTAAGAAATAACGAAATAAATGTCAACTGAATTGATTTATTCCGTAATGCACTTCAGACTTTATAATATGCCAGTGTTTTAGTGAAACAGACGGGGAAATTTGAGGATCAGTATAAGACAGTGTTTTAGAGAAGTTATAGATAATAAAACATTTCCGTAAAATTCATCAACAATTATATATTTACAACCTTCTCCTACTCTCTGAAATGGTTATCTTTGGGGTATATTTTAGAAAAAAGTTGCTAGGTATTTTTTTGGGGAAAAATAAAATTTCAAAACTATTCTATCTTTTATTTCAAAAAAATATGAAGAATTTTAAATATCCCCGTTTCAGGTCCGGACGGGGAAATTGGACGATATAGCCTGAAAAAAATAGTTTACATCATGTGAAACCCTTCGTTCAATATACTTCACAATTCTGTTACTATAAATAGAATTGGGAAGCCCCTCCAGGTAAGGACAAGTGATGACAGATGTTATTTCATCTATAACCTAGTCATATAATTAGTCAGGTAAATCCAATTTGCTTAGTATGTTTATTTACCTTTCAGAGCAGGGCAGGCATAAAGGTTCAGTCCATTTTTTTTAAACTTGTGTGTGTTGACAAGAGATACAACGAACGGTTAACCCAATGAGGGCAACTGAATGTCCACAAACGTCACATAAAAAAGGAATCTTGCAATATCGTTTGGATTAAAGATGAGGTCGGGTCAAATCTATTTCTGTTATCCCATTGTATCGCCGGTTTCCCCATACTACATTTTGGAACTGCCATTATATAAGTAAGCATAGTTTAATTCCGGGTGTAAAGTTTCCGATTTACCTGATTATTTATACTCGGTGGAAAAAATACACTGGTGCACTTTATTCCGTCTGCATTAAATATCAAGGTATGATTGAATTAGATATTAGCATTATAATATTTAGTAGTAACGGTTATATTGATTTCCACTGTCTGTCAGCTTTGTACAAATTTACAAGAGGTATTTAATATTTAACAAAATACCTTCTTAACGACAGTGTCCATTTAAAGTTACACACGGTAGGTAAAGTGTCCAGCGGAGATCGTGTTTTTTTCGAGGGAATCGGTCCACTATTTTTGAGTGTACTAGATCAGGTTTTTCCCGAGTGAATTAACATGCGGTCAATCGATTTACTGTTATTTCGCGAGTATAATTAGTTATCAAAGGTACCAGGCTTATAATTTGATACGCCAGACGCGCGTTTCGTCTACATAAGACTCATCAGTGACGCTCAGATCAACATAGGTTGAAAGCCTAACAAGGATAAAGTTGAAGAGCATTGAAGACCCAATTTTCCAAAAAGTTGTGCCAAATAAGGCTAAGGTATTCTATGCCTGGGATAAGAAAATCTTTGAGTATTTCGAATAATACATACTTTTGCAAACAGTAAATTTATAAAAATGACCATATAATTGATATTCATGTCAACACCGAAGTGCTAACTACCGGGCTGATGATACCCTCGGGGACGAAACGTCAACCAGCAGTGGCATCGACCCAGTGGTGTAAATAGTTATCAAAGGTACCAGGCTTATAATTTGATACGCCAGACGCGCGTTTCGTCTACATAAGACTCATCAGTGACGCTCAGATCAAAATAGTTAGAAAGCCAAACAAGTATAAAGTTGAAGAGCATTGAGGACCCAAAATTCCAAAAAATTGTGCCAAATACGGCTTAGGTAATCTATGCCTGGGAAAATCCATAGTATTTCGAATAATACATACTTTTGCCAACAGTCTTACTCGTGACTTTTCATCTTATTCTGAATGCTATACATGTTTTTAACACAAACGACGCAGAATGTCCTTTTAGTTCAGTAACATTATAGTGTTTTGTATTGTCTGTGTTTTTTCGAGTGCAACATTTAAAACGTCCGGGTTTTTCAACAAATGGTCCGTTTTTTTTTTTTTTTTTAAGAAAATGTGAATAAGAAAGAAGACATTCTTTGGCTTAAAAACTGACTTTTCTAGTTTGTAACTGTAGTTTATATATATATATATTATATATTCTAAATAAGTCACAAAATCAGATTACTATGTTGATCAAATTTAACCATTTTCAATTTAATGTTAACTTTCTGTTCTGAAAACATTTTACCTTAATCTTGCAGTATTACGATATTATTAGAAATAAATGGGTCCTTTTAGAAAACGGTCTAAAGAACAGAGTACAGTGACTCATAATTGATTCAAACTAATTTTTGATTTATTCAAAAGCTTAACTGTGTTTATCTGCAAATTTCGACTTTGTTTATTATTTTTGTTTGTCTCTTACTCTCCTCCTTTTGAAAAAAAATGACGTCAAATACGGAAATTTATTAATTTGGCCTAAATCACAAACTGACATACCCTCTATGAAATTTTGTTATGACAAAAAGTAAAATCACAAAAATACTGAACTCCGAGGAAAATTCAATCGGAAAGTCCCTAATCACATGGCAAAATCAAATGACAAAACACATCAAACGAATGGACAACACCTGTCATATTCCTGACTTGGTACAGGCATTTTCAAATGTACAAAATGGTGGATTGAACCTGGTTTTATAGCGCTAAACCTCTCACTTGTACGACAGTCTTATCAAATTCCGTTATATTTACAACGATGCGTGAACAAAACAGACATTATAAATAAAATAGTCAAAATATGGATACAGCAGTCATCACTGTGTTACAATATCAAAACAAACAATTATTTACAAAAAAGAACAAAAGCATCTATCAAATTAAAAACCACATTCATTGCTTCGTGTGTCTGACGTCAGAAAATGTAAACGTCACATAAGAAGAAATTTTGTCATTCAATGTTTATTCAAAACAATTTTATAATTTCACATGTGGAATGTTGGTATACAGGGTTAAAAAATCAAAAGTTATGTTAGAATTAATTTCTGAAATAGACCGAGATTTAAAATTGTCCAGAAGTTCTTTAGAATATTTAAGAATCCACATATGGTTAATACCACTACGGGAGTAAAATAAATTTGTCGTTTGTCGTTCAAAGTATTTTCAAAGGAGTAGGCCCAGTAGGACCCCTTTGTGGCCCCAAAATATAGCAGTTTTACAAAATTGTTAAAATGTAAATTTTTAGCTATTTATTGGAAAGAAGAATACTTCTGTTACATAAATATGGGCTGTTTTTGACAATACAATGCACATGTATCGGGTACTAGCATCATTAAGTCATGCTAAATTACTGAAATCTTCGAAATTTTAGCATTTTGGTTAATTTTTAGACGGTTTCCGTCTGAAATGGAAGTGGCCGCATTTGTGTTCATTCTTAATATTTAAATGTAAGTTGTATTTGATGATAATACATAACATATATAAAGGTTGAGAATGAACACGGATGCGGCCACTTTCATTTTTGACAAAAACCATCTGAAAAGTGACATATTATGGCATATTTGATAGATTTTTCATATTTAAGCTTGAATTTGAGCGTCTTTAATGACTAAATCAGTTCAAATCTTTCACATAAACTAATTGAATCGACTGAAGTAGACACTTAAGTGTTTAAAAAGTGTCCAAAATCTTTCATCAGATGAACCTGAATTTTGAGGCCAAAATCGACTCTTACCGGACCTACTCCTTTATAATAGAACAATAACATAATGACATATAATAGAACAATAACATAATGACGGGATCTTATAAAGTACAGAGTCACGTTATAAGAACCACAGAAACACAAAAAGTCGCATATACAAAACACACCAGCAAAAATGAAAGATAATACAAACACATTGACGGGATGTATAAGTACCTAGCCACGTCAAATGGATATCACAGAAAACAAACCAAACAGTAAAAGTAATATTAATAATAGAACAAAGACAAATGAAAGAACAATATTACACGTTGTTAAGATGATAAACAACGTCAGTATGCAGAATCTATACTTCAAGACCATCATGTATTATTTGTGAAGTTGATACGGAATATTTATCAACAAGGTCTTGGTACCTTCCGATGAACTTTTTTTTAGAAAAAGGACGAGACGTTCTTTGACATACCCCTGGTTCATCAACTTTCTGCTCAGACACTGGTGACGTTTAACAAAGTCTGAGTAGGAGCTGCAAGCTCTTGAATATCGAATAAGTTGGGAAATGTATATCCCATATGCAGGTGAAGTTGGTATATTGCTACTAAGGTGGGGGAAATTTATAATTTTAAAATTAAAATCGTCTCGTTTGTCATAGATTCTGGTACTGAGATGACTGTGTATGTCAAATTCGAGATATAAGTCTAAAAATGAGGCGGAGGAAGCCGTGTCTGTTGTTTCTTTAATTTCTAGTTCTGGGGGATATATTAATGGAACCCAATCAGAAAAGTTCGGATTGTTAATGGAAAGAACATCATCAATATATCTAAAAGTGAAATTAAATAATCTGGCTTCTTTGATCTTCTTGTTTTTGACAAGTGTCTGAAGGAACTCCGATTCATATGAAAATAAGAAGAGGTCGACAAGGAGAGTTCGTTCCCATAGGAATGCCGACAATTTGTTGATAAAGTCTACCTCCAAATTCAATAAATATGTTGTCGATAAGAAACTCCAGCATACTGATCACTTGTTCTTCTGTGTAGCATGTTTTACCCTTTTGTTCACTATTAACAAAATATGCCTTATGATATCCCAAAGTAATAAATTTATAGCGTATGCTACCATTTTTATGATGAAAGGCATTGTGGATTATTTCTTTCAGGCGATTTTTCAATTTCACATGGGGAATGGTGGTATACAGGGTTGAAAAATCAAAAGTTTTGATAGAACTAATATCAGAAAAAGACCGAGATTTAAAATTATCTAGAAGTTCTTTAGAATTTTTAAGAATCCACATATGGTTAATACCACTACGTGAGTAAACAGTTTCACAGTATTTCTGAAGACCCTCTTTCACTGCGGACAGAATTTTAGTCAATCTAATGGACAATTCTTTAGTGGAACATGCAGATGAGCCGGCAATGTACCGTTGTTTGTAAGGAATTTTGTGGAGCTTAGGTATCCAATACAAAAAAGGTAAGTCCTCCGATTTGGTGTTCAATGTAATGTTCATTGAAGCCATGAAGGACTTATGATTTGCTAAAATCTCATCCTTGTCAAATGATATGTCTTTGTATGTGGGATTACCTGAGTGCTCATTTATTCCTAATTCTTTTACAAGACATTCGTAGTAATACGATTTACATATAAAGACAATATTATGTGAAGCTTTGTCCGCAGGAACAACAACATACTTATCATGAAGAGATGATAGACATTTCACGGCCTCTTTGTCTCTGAAAACGGACTTAGGTCGATCATTCACACAGTTTTTCAACTTATGAATGCGACGTTTTATCAGAGACCTGATAGTTTTGACCCATTCTGACAAAGTGTCCAGTTCAACTTCTTCTCGTTTAGCCCATGCTCTGGCGTAGTCCTCAATGGAATCCATAATTATTTTGAAGTTATGGTTCCAATTGATGTGTTGGGGTTCTCTAAACATAGGACCATGAGAAATCACCTTTCGGAGATTTTCATGTTGAATTATGTTTAGATCCCCAGTTGTAACATGACCAGAGGGGCTGTAATTATAAGGCGAGTGGGAATAGTCACATGTCGGTGGGTTTTTGAGGTATTGTTCTAAGTCAAGGTCCTGCAATGCTTGTTTATAGTTAAATACTTTAGGTGCAATGGTTTTGGTGTAACTGTAGGATACAATAGGAACAGACTGATTTTGAAAATAAATAGGAATTTTAGATATTACCTCCTTGTGATGTAGAACGTTGCAGATGTTGATTGCATCAATCCCTCTATTGGTAAAGTGAAGAGGAAGGAATTTCCTCTTTTCCTCGTGTAAAGGTTCCGATCTTACTGGTTTGAAAAGACGGAAAAGAGCTACATCACAAATAATACTGACTAGTCTGTATATTGAAGAAAATGTATCGATGCATCCTTTGTCAAGTGCATAATCTCTCAAACATTTAAGAAAATTAACAGGCAGTGAAAAAAGAATAGTTCTAATGTAATGTAACCCTAGTGGATGATGAAGATGTGAAAGAAGGTCATCAAAGCTCCCAGAGGGCGATCTAGATTTTGAAGACACAGGACTATTTGTGTGGTGATAAATTTTCTCGATGATGCGTACTTTCATAGATAAAGAAGGATCATGGTCCGGTTGATTAAAATGATTATAAAGAACCCTAAATTGCGGATCTTTATTATCAGACCGGTGTTGATTCATTCTTTTACGCAAAGTTTGACGAGTTTCACCAACATAAAGTAGTCCACACAAAGTACATTCTATTCCGTACACGACATTGTCCGTGGAACAGTCCAGAGGCTCGAAAGATTTAGTATAATATGTTTTAGATGTTAAATTACTAGTAAAATCAGGAGTCGTGATTAACATATTACATGTCTTACACGTGCTCCTTTTTCCTTTTTTATGTTTACAAGAAGAAATGATAGGTGTTGATTCACTTGTAGCAGGTGTCTTTAAACAGTCGAAAATATTGACGCAACATGGCTTTAATTTATGAAAAGTATCTGAATTTTTAAAAATAGTAATTACCTTCTGGCTGAACATAAGTCAAATCAGGGGTATCCCGGAGGATATTCCGTGGAACACACAAATCAAATGCTACAGTGTTCCGTGCAGCAAAAGGGGACCTTGGTAACCCGGGCGACGTCCCAGCCGGTTTGTTCTTTGTATTATTTGTATTCATCGTGCATAAAGCTACCAAGTTAATGATGCCCTCGGGGAATAATCCACCAGCAGTAAAGTTTCTTCTAGGAAGAAACTTGACATCGACTTGGTTTTAGTAAAAAGTAAAATCACAAAAATACTGAACTCCGAGGAAAATTCAATCGGAAAGTCCCTAATCACATGGCAAAATCAAATGACAAAACACATCAAACGAATGGACAACAACTGTCATATTCCTGACTTGGTACAGGCATTTTCAAATGTACAAAATGGTGGATAGAACCTGGTTTTATAGCGCTAAACCTCTCACTTGTACGACAGTCTTATCAAATTCCGTTATATTTACAACGATGCGTGAACAAAACAGACATTATAAATAAAATAGTCAAAATATGGGTACAGCAGTCATCACTGTGTTACAATATCAAAACAAACAATTATTTACAAAAAAGAACAAAAGCATCTATCAAATTAAAAACCACATTCATTGCTTCGCGTGTCTGACGTCAGAAAATGTAAACGTCACATAAGAAGAAATTTTGTCATTCAATGTTTATTCAAAACAATTTTATAATTTCACATGTGGAATGTTGGTATACAGGGTTAAAAAATCAAAAGTTATGTTAGAATTAATTTCTGAAATAGACCGAGATTTAAAATTGTCCAGAAGTTCTTTAGAATATTTAAGAATCCACATATGGTTAATACCACTACGGGAGTAAAATAAATTTGTCGTTTGTCGTTCAAAGTATTTTCAAATTTATAATAGAACAATAACATAATGAAATATAATAGAACAATAACATAATGACGGGATCTTATAAAGTACAGAGTCACGTTATAAGAACCACAGAAACACAAAAAGTCGCATATATACAAAACACACCAGCAAAAATGAAAGATAATACAAACACATTGACGGGATGTATAAGTACCTAGCCACGTCAAATGGATATCACAGAAAACAAACCAAACAGTAAAAGTAATATTAATAATAGAACAAAGACAAATGAAAGAACAATATAACACAAGATGTTAAGATGATAAACAACGTCAGTATGCAGAATCTATACTTCAAGACCATCATGTATTATTTGTGAAGTTGACAGTTAATGTTAAATTAATAATAATAAAAATTCATTGCATAGTACCTTACCTACAATTTTTATTTTATTTTTTACATTTTTTGGCCTTGACAAAAACATCTGGTTGTTGTCTCTTTGACGCATTCCCGATTTCCATTCTCAATTTTATATGTGTAATTGTCATTTATAATTTTGATCAATTCAACACCTTTAACCATGTACATCAACACAAACTGTATTTTATATAAGTATGTATTATTTTGTTTTTCGATTGTAGTCCCCAGTTTAGTCAGCAAATGCAGCTTCTAAAAGGAATAGAGTTTCAAAGAAGTAGATCGTACGTCGGTGCTCCTTCTAAGTAGGTGCAAGGATGGCAAAAATGTTACTGATTCTGATCATAGCTATCGCTGTTTTGTCGAGTATAGGTAAGTTGTCTTCCTATTTGTTCTAGTCAATATTGACCAATAGTCTTAGGAGGAGATAACCCCCTTGCGCTCTATATGACTCCATCTCTTGAAAAAATAGCGCTCTTTTCGGTCCGAATTTAGGCGATTTGAAGTATGGTCATTTTCTATAAAAATGGGCTCCTTTAGCATTGATTATTTTCTTTCTTATCGTTTATCAAATACAGCAATTGCAATTGGGTTTCTCAGCCCTAACAATGCATTGGATTATACGAGGGTCTGCATAGGGGGTCCTTCATCTTTATCGCTGAATTTTTTAGGTCATTTTTCTGTATTCTTTATATTTGGTGTCCGTTTTTCTCTGTTCTTTATACTATAGAACCCTATTACTCTCTGTTCTTTAATTTTTGCTTGCCCTATTTTTCCTATTAATTATTTTTTTGCCATATATATTCTGCACATCTTGCCCGATATTCTCTATTCTGTAAACCCCATTCATACCATTTTATACAGTCTTTGATTGAATCCAAACCGCAGTATAAGAAAATATTAATAAGTTGTTCTTATAAGGTATGTAAAATAATTTTGCCATATATTGATATTGGATTCCCAATAAAAAAAACTCGGCGTAGCTAATAAGAGGAATAGCTTGCAATAAAAGAGATTAATGATAACAATACAGTTACAACATAAGACATCTATGGCGACCTTGTAAAATTAATTAAAAGATTAGATCTACAAATAACACGAGAAATCATTTATTAGACTATAAAGTTATCAAACGGTCAGATAGTTATCAAAGGTACCAGGATTATAATTTAATACGCCAGACGCGCGTTTCGTCATTTCGTCTACATAAGACTCATCAGATACGCTCAGATCAAAATAGTTATAAAGCCAAACAAGTACAAAGTTGAAGAGCATTGAGGACCCAAAATTCCAAAAAGTTGTGCCAAATACGGCTAAGGTAATCTATCAGAAACCGGTCAATAAAATTCTACATACGCGGTGGGTTAAACCTGATCACCCTCTTCATGCACTCCGTACGTTTATTTATTTTGATTATCTAATGGTCAAGATCACCTCCCCCTTTTTTGCTGGGCCAAGTGATCTTTTCTCATCACTTGGCGTTCATCGTCCGTCGTTGTCGTCCGTTGTCGTTAACTTTTACCAAAATCTTCTCCTCTGAAACTACAGGGCCAAATTTAACCAAACTTATCATCATTGGGGTATCTAGTTTTAAGAATGTGTCCGATGATCCAACCCGCCAATCAAGATGGTCGACATGGCTAAAAATATAACATAGGGGTAAAATGCAGTTTTGGGCTTATATCTCCCGTTGTTGGGTTGCTGCCCCTGAATTGGTAATTTTAAGGAAATTTTGCAGTTTTTGGTTATTATCTTGAATATCATTATAGATATAGATAAACGGTTAACAGCAACAATGTTCAGCAAAGTAAGATCTACAAATAAGTTTACATGACCAAAATTGTCAATTGACCCCTTAAGGAGTTATTGCTCTTTATAGTCAATTTTTAACAATTTTTCGTAAATTTTTGTAATTTTTTACATAAATCTCTCCTCTGAAAATAGTGGGCCAAATAGATTCAAACTTGGAAACAATCATCATTACGGTATTCAGTTTAAAAATGTGTTCGATGACCCTGCCTGCCAACAAAGATTACTGACGTGGCTAAAAATAGAACATATGGGGTAAAATGCAAGTTTTGTCTATTATTCTGATAATCGAATTAGAGGAAATCTGAAAAGGGTAAAATTGTTCAGAATGTTGAGAACTACCAATTGTCCATATACGTTAAAACTGTCAGACGATTTTCTGTAGTTTCTGGAGTTATTGCCCTTAAATGACAAAACGCACGACTTTTTTTAATTTTTGCCTATTCTCTTGAAAACTATTATAGATAGAGAGAAAAACGATCAGAAGGACAAATTCTACAAATAAGTCTTATGGTTAACATCATCAGTTGACTCCTTAATAGAGTTATAGCCCTTTGAAGACGATTTGTAATTTTTTTTTTGCGTATTGCCTTATATGATAAAATTTTTAATAGATAGATAGAAACTTAAATAAGCAAAAATAATAAGCAACACAAGACTACTAACAAGTCAAATTTTGCCGATATAATTAGTAGACTTACTCTTTATAGGAGTTATTGCTCTTAAATTAGGTTTTTTTTTTTACCTCTTTTGTGTTTGGAGTAAAAGCTAAATAAGATATAGAGAAACTAAACAGACTTCAATGTTCAGCAATATAAGATAAAAACAAGTTGCTTTCTTTAAAAAAAAAAGAAAAGCAATAAGTGAACCCACGACTGCTGCATGACTGGTCACCAAAAAATCGTTGCTAAATTTTTGTTTGCTTTTGAATTGAAACTATTGACAATGAATAGAATAAGATAATGGCTATTTCATTTATTGCTTGGGAATGTACATCATTTTTTCATAACCCTTTTGCAAATCCCAGTTTCTACAAACCGGATGTCTAATGCAAATTCGACAAACCAATCGCAAAATAAATTTAAGCTCTCAGTTTGCGTTATAATCTGGATTCATTTATCTTATCTATCATGTCTTCATATTTTGTTTCCTGCATGGATGCCGTCATATTCTCAACTCGTTATTAAACTGTCTGTACTCATGGTAGATGATGTGTAGATAAATTTAAAGTCCAATTTCCATTTGAAGTGAAATCCTGTGGAATGCAACTTATAAGCTGGTTTCGTATATTTTTCTTGAGAGTAACATACCAGCTTCATTTGGGACCTCTTATATAGAGCCTTTTTTTGTTCTCATAAAACATCTCAAATCTTAAGGATTTCATGATTTTACTTAAATCAATCCAAATATTCTACAGGAAACTTGGTTTTGAAGAATATCTTATTTTCAGAAGTTTTATGAATACCTGAACATACTCTCAAAAGATCCAATTCATGTAGATATAGAAAGATACCAGGATTAAAATGTTTACACCAGATGCAAGTTAAGTCTACAAAGAATTATCAGTGACGTTCGAATAAAAAAGTCTAAAAGGCCAAATAAAGTACAAAGTTAAGTAATCTATTCCTTAGGTAGAAAATCTTTAGCATTTCGAAAATGTCAGTTTATAATAGGACAGTGACTCAAAAAAAAAGCAAAAGAGAACAGCTAGAGGTAAGAATACCGTAAGTAATGATGACCGTGCTTGAAAGTCACATGTCAAGCTCTTACTGCCGTGTCCTGGATTTAGATAAGAAAAGTGCCGAAAATTCGCATTCACGAGTGAAATTAATATTTATGCATGCACGTGGAATTTTGCGCAAGAAATAGTAAATAGAAAGCATACACACTGATACTGTGGATAAGAATACGCACATACATTAATCTAATAGTTGAATTCGGATATCAAACTACCTACCTCAAGTGTTTTGACTCCTGATTCATTGACATTTTATCCGGAATTTTTGTGAACGCAAACCGATAGTGTGCGTGTGAACAGGGTGATGTATAATGTGAATGAATCAAGACGTGTAGGATAGCTGGTCAGCACAATAAATACAATTTTCAAAACCATACCATAGTACAAATATTTAGATGCTATAAGGTTGAACTATTAAAATAAACAAACAAAAATTTTATAATGTAATACCCCCGTCACACTAGGCCACGATCGCACTAAGATCTCTAAAAAAACATGCAAATTTTGACGATCGTAGTGCGATCGTGTAGATCGCAGTAAGATCGTGGTACGGTCGTGGTGAGGTCTTCATGATCAAGATGAGCTCGGGCCAACTTTGAACATGTTAAAAACAATCGTGGTGCTGTTATGGCGAAATCAGGTCGTAGTAAAAGCGTTGTGAGAGTGCAGTAAGGTCGTGGTAAGATCTTAAAGGTCGCTGTACAATCGTAGAGAGAGCGTAGCGAAAGCGCGATTCTAGTCGGAGAGACTGTGCTACGATCTCACCGCGACGTTACTACGACACTCACGTTATCACCATGACCTAACCACGCTTCTACTACGACTTAAGCACGTCTATACCACGCTGTTTAAGACCATAGAACGATTCTATCACGCTCATGCTGTCCTCATCACTTTCTTCGTAAGACCTGACTACGTTCATACTACGGCCATTTCGAGTTCTGGTCATGCATGATCATTGTCACATAAAATATATAAAAGCTCTCCAGGTTTTGTTTGAAAAATCAATTTCAATTGAACCATGGAAACACAAGACCATGTACATGTAGTAATGCTTCTACAATCATTAACACAGATACAAAATCTTAACGACCATGCATGACTGTGTTGTTTCCGAGAAATCTACGTATTTTAAAATGAGAAATAGAAGGAATGGAATAGTATTCATATTGCACACAATGTTGACGTTATTGTTGAGAGCGTAGTAAGATCGCATTTGAACGTGGTATGATCGTAGTATGATCGTGTTGAGAGCGTGCTATAATCGAAGTAGAAGCGTAGTAAGATCGTGTTGCAATCTGATAAATCGTGGTATGGTAGTAGTGAGAACGTGATGAGCATAGTTAGATCGTGATAATCGTAGTGAGGTCACAGAATAAGCGTGGTGAAAACTTGGTATAATCGTAGCGGGATCGTTGTAGAAGCGTAATGAAGACGTAGTAGCATCGTGAAAATAACGAAAATTTACATTTTCATACCGCTCATACCGCGACCTCACCACGATCTGAATTTATTTAAAATCACGGTGAGCGTAGTACGATCGTAGTCAGAAAATTTAGAATATAATATCAATAAACACAAACGTCAAATATTTACGGATGGACATTTTATTTATCAAATCAATCTCTTTTTAAAGTCTAACATCCCACTATACATATACTGCTATACAAAATATAAGCAGAGACTTGTAAATCCATACTAAAACAGTATAAAATAATTATGATAGTAATTAAATTTGGTTATGATTATTGTAAAATATTAATTACGTTTTTTGTGAGATGCAAGGATTTAAAATTCCTGTGAATTGAAACCATGCAAGTATTTTTTTCATTCACGGCCGTTTAATTAAAATTTAGATACATGTATTTAGCTAACTTTGGGTACGCATCCCTGCTCATCGGTGCTTATACGTTACATATAATTTTCATAAATGTAATGATTGTTCAAACCTAATTTTAATTATATTCTATTAAGAATAAAGTCAGTCTCAGTTTAAACTTACAAATGAATATTCTGTTAGCCTGGTAGTATCTATTGATGAAATTAGATTTTTTTAACAGAAAAATCCCTTTGAATTGTTTGATTATCTTTCTGCTTTCCGACCACTGTGTTTCCGATCTAAAATAAATATTTTTAACAGAAATAATATCAAATGATAAACGTTCAGAAATAATCAGTTTATTCTGGGTTATTATATATCAATAAACTATTCCCAGGGTTATTGTCACAATGCACAACAGCACGCTGTATTAAATACTACACACTCAACGCATAGAGGGACCGTCTCAAAGCATGAATTATATGATTATGTTATAATTATACTTGATGTTTAATAAACATTCACATTATTAAAAAACACATATTTTTTGTCAAAAGGCAAATAGGTTCTAACATATAAATGATTTTTTGAATGCAACCTATAGTCTTTATTGGTTTTACTTTCCAATCTACAAATGAACTTTGATTGTTGAAATATACAATGTCACGTGGTAGTCTATCCAAAGGGGGACCGTATCAAAGACATAAATAACTACTTATATAAATGATCGAAAAATTTTCGAGACGTTCCGAGAATTTTGATTCCGAGGATATCGAATGGCCCATAGACACTTCCAAAACTCGCCAATATATAATACAAAACAGAGATTTTTGTCATTTATTCTATTTTTATTTTTCTTATCTAAAGATGGTATACTATGTTAAGGCAGAGACATATAAAACATCGTATTATATGTCTGTGGTTAAGGGGTTATACTACGCCAAAGTGTTGTATAAATAGATCATAGTTTATTCACCAATCATGGGCCCACAAGGGTCGTGTTTTACATCAGACAAATACATAACAATCGTGTTTGATCATACATATATAAGATAACATGTAATAGTTAAGCATGCTATGAAATTATTAATTTCAGCAAGTTTGGTTCGAATTAAAACTTTTGCAACTGCAAAAGGCACCAAGGGACAGTATATTTGCTTCAACTAACCACGGTCTCAGAAATAGGATGAAAACTTCGTAGATATAAAGTATTTTTAACGGATGCGTAGACATTTTCACCCCTGGATCAATTAGGACTACATTTGGGACCTCGCAAAAAAGTGATTTTATTTGTGAAGTCTTTTATTCACCGATTTGGATAAGATTGGGACCATAGAATTGTGATCCAATTGTTAAAAGTCGTCCTTTTGTGAGATTGTCCTATCCTGTGTCTAAGTCTATGTAATATATACATTATTCATGTATATCTGATTACTGAATTATTTCATTGCAGAAGCAGAAAGTTACAAATGTCGGCAAAAGAGACATAAGGCCAATCAACGCCCAAGCGAAAATTATCTAGCTTATAAATTGGAAGAAATCAATCGCGAACATGGCATAGAGAAAGAAAAAGAACCGAGTGATGAAGAGTATGAAAAAGAAAGGGAATTGGACAGACAAGCAAGCTACCAGGCTCCTGGACGGCTATCAATTTCAGAAACGCTCTACTGCTTGTTTATAGTTCTTGTATTGGCTGGCCCTATAGTTTATTTAATCTTGTTCGTCGCCAGCAAGTATGGCAGTGTAGGAGCACGACCAAATACGTACCAAGAACAAACGTGGGAATCAGTCGATAGGATGCAAACAAGTAATACTAATTTTATGAAACATATGGACATGTTAAAAAGGCAACGAGAGGAAAACGACAGATTTTATAAATTCACGCAAAACGGATTAAGTCCCAGAGCATAATTTTAGACACTGCGTTGCTGGAGTATTGTGTTTGCATTACTTGACGTAAACCGTGTACAAATACACCTAAAGGCTTTTTAGTCTTATACGAAAAAAAAAACCAAAAACAGTCAACTAAACAACTAACTTCCTGTTTGGGTCAAGTGACGCAAGAAAAAAGGTCATAAGTATTGACCTGAGGGTGGAAAACGTTTAAAAAGTGAACATTTTGAAATTTGTATAGTTCATGATCCAATTTTTTAAACACAAATTAAAGTTAGATTTTTTGTTTGTTTGAAGTGTTTACAATGGTTTAAACATTAATTCTTTGAAATTTTTTGTGCACAGTACATTGTTTGAAGAAGGCCCGAGATAGCTTCAACTGGTTGAAAGAAGTCGTGTAATTTAAGAACTTTTCCCGTTTGGAATAAATAACGATAAGGTGTATTAACTTTAGCTAAACCCTATGCCCAAGTATCAGTTTGCACAACAATGGGCTTACTATCATATATACATAATGAGTTTTCTTTTATGACCCGGAATGTTTTTATTTTCAATTTTAAATGCAAAAATGAATTGACACCACCTCATGGTTGATTTTGGTACACAATCGACAACCAACTATCGGAGGATTTATTCAATGTTTTTACAGATTTTATACAGCATAACCAAACACATAATTGTCAAAAGATATATATTTACTTACGAGTGTATAACCTTGGCGGTTGACACGATACACCTCTTAACAATTCCAGATTGATATGTTTGTTCATAATTCTTGTTCTTATAACAATATTTGAATGAATTAGTAGATAATTCCGGTTCATATACAAATATTAACAAATTTTACTAAAACTGAAGTTGCAACTTCCTCCCCAGAAATGGTTGTCTTGAGACATATTGACTGTCAACCAAATAACTGAACAACTGGCTCCTGACTTCGTACCGGTGCATAAAAATGTAGCGGGTTCAAACGTTTTAACAGGCGCCAACCTTCACCTTTACCCGAAACAGTAGTGTAACATTACAATAAAAATCAGGATTTTAATCGTGTATATTTTTTCAGTCATATGAAGTATACCTTTTGGGCATGAAAATAAATTTTGTTGGTAGGTGACATTTCAAAATGTCCATCCAAATTTATTTCTATTCTATGGTATTGCATCTTGTACTTAAACTCTGCTCTGTTTTTCTCTTTTATGATATTTGGGAAATGAGAAAACAGAAAAAATCGATCTGATTTGAAAATGGTAACAGTTAGAGAACATTACTAACCCACAAAAGTTTACTACTAAACAATAAATATAAAATTTATAAGTTTCGCTTTCGTCATTTAGGTTCCATACAAATGGAAAAGTAGCAGTTCTACTCCTGAATTCGTCAAGTCACTAAGATTTCACCAGATAAACAGACAAATATCAATGACGAATCGTTGTATTGTTTAACCCTTTTTACTCCTACGGTTGATCATGGAGTTAACCGCAAACCATTCAATCTATTCAAATTCTTTGTAAACTGAATTATAATTTTCGAGAAATATTGTTCAATTAAAACAAGATTTAAAAATTTTCGTTTTGATTAGTTTGTTTAGTGATGAAAATATAACGCTCATTGAAAAGTAAGACATGTAGCCATTAAGGAAGAATTTTAGTATGCAGATTACCCTGAGAATTTCTAATATTAAGTGTTCTGGATCTCATTCATCATTTGTTCTTCATGTGATCATCATTTTATATTGTTTATGTTTCATTGCGTACATCACTTTATATGCTCCAGTTTTAGGAGTTTTATACAGGACAGTGTAGGAACCCATGTTACTTCCCCCTCTCTTCTGAGTGACGAAAACTGCTCAGCAGGCCGTGTGCACAACTGCAAGGAACATTCAGCGGACACGTTGTCCAAAGGAACAATTCGTGGCTAACCACAGCGTGAGTTACCTTTAAAACATTACAAATTATGTCTTTACATCAGCGATGAACTGTTTTAATATGTTTTCCTATGTTATAAAGAAACTATGAACATTTAACCGTTCAAACTGTTCGTATTGCGATTACACAATTTAATTCAGACAGAACCCGACGTGTGCAAGAATATTCATCTATTTATTATTATAAAGAACATTAACAGCTTTATAAATCTACGAACTGTTTATCCGTATTTTTAATGGACTTTAATTATAATTGAACACATTGTAAAATTGTATTTATATTTGTATTTTCAGTTTTTCACCATTTGGATTGGTAGTTAAAATAAAAGTCAGCTCCTGATTGTTTTATCTTTACATAAACCCAGTCATCTTGGTTAAACTCGCTGGTCCGGCCAGTACAGTGAAAAAGCTACAACTTGCCTGTTGTTTTTCTTGGATAACGTACGCCACTCCACGACAGTCAGCAGACCCATAACGTAGTTTCAACGACAACGTTTCGTGCTAGTTTATTGACGACAACCTGTCTTTACATATCCAGACAAGGAACGACTACGTAGCAACGTAAATACCTTTACACTGACAGTGGACTACATAACTTGTGTGCGCTAGGCAGCAACCCAACAACGTTGAGTCACCATGGATCCCAGTCACGCGGAACAGCAAGACGAGATTCAAAATCCAGAGGGAGACGTCTCTAAAGAACAAATAGAGAATCCGTCTACTACAACACCTTTAGATGAAGATGCCGAGACTAGGCGAGTACGTGAACTCACAGAAAAGGGACAAGGAGCTTTTACAGAAAAACGTGACAAGTTCTATCATGACTTAGAGGCCCTATGGTCAGACCTAGAATCTCAGTTGTTGGAAACGACCACGCCTCCTAACGACCTCCAACAATTGCTGACAGCACAAGATAGAATTGTACAAGCCTGTACCAATTATCGGAGGCTCACAGACGAGTACTTGAAATTTCTTAAAAATACAAGAACGTTAGACAGCCTTCAAGACATTGATACGTGTAAACTTTCAACAGATATCCGAATGTCTAAAGTTGACCTAGCAATTGAAACCTTACACGAGCATCGCCGCACCCTGACAAAGGCTAAATCTACAAAAACCAAGACATCTAAGGGCAAGAAAACCTCGCACAGTGGGAGCTCCAACGTCTCTAACATGTCAAGTCTTGCACAGAGGAAGCGTGCCAAAGCAGAGGCTGCTAGATCTCAGATAGCCTTTGCTGAAAAACAGGCCTTGCTACTAAAGCAGGAGGCAGTGATAGAAGAACAGGCTCTTTTCAAGCAAAATGAAATAAAGGCTGAAGCGGAACAAGAAGCCATCAGAGCGGAGCAAGAAGCCATCCGAGCAGAACAGGACGCCGCTCAAAGAAAAGCTCAATTAGAACAAGAAGCCGCAAGTAGAAAAGCCGAGGCTGCACACCTGCAAGCTGAAATGAAACGTGAGGCTGTACGCAGGAAAACTATAATGGAACAAGAGGCTGCACGTGCAATACGAGAAAAAGCCGAAATTAAGGCTGCTATGAACATTCTAGAAGCACAAAGAGAAGCCGCAGCCGCAGAAGCCGAGGCTCGTATCCTTGAACACGATGGCAGTCAAGCATTTAACGATCTCCCTGGCGAAACGGAAGACCCTCTTCAGCGTGTGCAAGATTTCGTCAATAAACATCCTGTACCAACTGCTGTACAGGAAGTAACAGGACCTCAAAAGTTAAAACAAATTCCTGTTAAGATTGAGCTGAGTCATGAAGCACCAGCGTTCGTGCCATCTGTGGCACTGAACTTGCCATCACAAACACCTGAGGTCTTGCCTACACATGCTAAGTCACCAGAAGTTAATGTATTCCCAGATCTGGGAACAATAACTGGCATAGAAAAACAAGGCATTATTGAAGAGATCCCTGTCTTACAACAAAAACAAGGCGTTATAGAAGAGAACCCTGTTGCATACCAGCAACAAATCAATCCTACGTCGGAGATAACCAGATTTCTCCTACGCAAGGACCTGTTGTTCTCCCGGCTAACAAGCTTTAACGACCGGGCAGAATCCTTCCATACATGGAAAGCCAGCTTTAAAAACGTCATAGACGAATTACAAGTTTCGGACTCGGAACAGATAGACCTACTTATTAAATGGCTTGGACCAGAGTCTGCCAAACATGCCATGAGTATAAGGGCATCAAATGCCAACAACCTAACAAGAGGCCAACAGAGACTATGGGAGAGACTTGACGACCGATATGGTGCTCCAGAAATGTTGGAGGCGTCTCTCGTTAACAAACTCGTCAACTTCCCAACACTGACGAATAAGGACAACTCACTCCTTTACGATTTGTCAGATATTATCTCAGAAATAGAATATCACAAGGAAAATCCCAAGCTGGGATGTTTGCTTGCGTATTTCGACTCTTCATCCGGGATAAATCCTATAGTGGAAAAACTGCCATACGGACTCCAAGAAAAGTGGATAACAAGGGCTTCAAGATACAAGTCTAAATATGAAGTTGCATTTTCACCTTTCACAGAATTCTCTGCCTTCATCAGAGAAATTAGCAAAATAAAGAACGATCCTGGGTTCATTTTTGGGTCAAGAGTCACACCAAGTACAAAAGGTGCTGCGCCAAAGTTCACACCTCAAACATATTCTAAAGTCAATGTTCATAAGACAGCAGTTGAACAGCAACCTGGAGACAGCAGTGAACAACAAAGTCTTTGCATGTTGTATAATACAAAGCATACCTTAAACGAATGCCGAGCGTTCCGTGCCAAATCAATCGAGGAACGCAAGGAACTGTTGAGGCAAAACAATCTTTGTTACAAATGCTGTGATTCGACTATGCACAGAAGTCGTGATTGCATGGCAAGTATCAGTTGCAATGAATGCGGAAGTAAACAACACACCACCGCATTACACACAAATCGGGTGTACCAACCCAAAGGTGCACCGCCTTTACCGCCTAGATCAGTCGACGGCGGGGAGCTAATTGATACAGCCTACGGCGGGGAGCAACTTGAGTTAGCTGAAACCAAGCTAACCTCTGTTAGTTCAACTTGCACAGATATCTGTAAAGATGGCAACAGTAATAAATCTTGTGCCAAGATACTCCCTGTGAATGTCTTTCACAAAAATAATCAGGACAAAGTAATTCGCATGTATGCAATTATTGACGACCAAAGCAACCGGTCTCTCGCCGCTCCTGAATTCTTCAGCCTATTCAACGTACAGGAAGAAACAAAAGACTATATGTTATCCACATGCTCCGGCAGCAAGGTTACTTCCGGAAAACGAGGAAACGGCTTTGTCGTAAAGTCTGTACAAGACAATACTAGATTCAATCTGCCTGAACTGATT